CTTTTTCTTTTCATTATTCTTGCTGAGAAGACAGCATACTCTCCAGCAAGCCACCTGCCCGGTGGACAATTCCGTGATGTAAATCCCATTACCCGACCCTCCTTCCCCTGGGAGTTCCTGCCGCTGAGATAAACTCACTGTCCCCCCAAGCATCCCATCTCCTCTTGCTGTCAGTTTGATCCCACATAAACCAAACCCACAGCCGTGGCGCCGATTCGGCTCAGAGTGAGCCTACAGGGCTGAGAACAGCCCCGCCCAGTTTCCATGGCTGTGACCCTAAGGCCAGCAGGGTGATAGAACCTTCTCCTGAGGAGCTTCAGCAGGTTCAGCCAGCCTTTGGGTTAGCAGTCTAGTGCCTCTACACACCACCAGGGCCTCCTTCCGCTACAGCTCAAAGCTGACTCCTAGCCACCCTGTAGTTTCCAAGACTGTACGTGTTCAGGGGAGTGGAAAGCCATCCTTCTCCCAGAGCTGCTGGTGATTTCGAACTGCTGACCATGCAGATCTCAGCCCAATGCATAACCACTCTGCCAAGAGAGATCCTTTCTGCTATAGCCAGTCCTGCTCAAAAAACGGTGGAGTGCTGGAGCCCTGGTGGCGTAGTGGTTTCACAGTGAGCTGCGAACCCAGGATCACACCACCAGCAGGTCCACAGGATAAAGATGTGGCTTTCCACTCGTAGAGTTAGTTTCAAAACCCTATAGGGCAGCTCTACCCTGTTCTATAGGGTTGCTAGGAGTCAAAATCAACTCGCTGGCGGTGAACACAGGAAGCTCTTGACCGACGAGCAGGAACTCCTACATTAAACAGGAGATTCCAAGGTGGAGGGCAGCAAGGTGTGACAAAGGAAGCACTGAATCGTGGCAATCCTGAAGCCCAGCCAGGATCCTAATGGTTGCCTCTTGAACATGAGGTTTAGTCAGGTCTTGTACCCCTACCTCTATGCCCTGTGTCAAATTGACACGTGAATAAAAGCACACATTTTCTTTATAAAAACTTTAAGTTTATTTAAAAACAACATAATTACACACTACTAACTTATAAATGAAACCATGTGATACTGTAATTTCTAAGAAATTTATTTAACATTATACAATATTGGAGATAATTGGGTTTGGATTATCCCAGTAAGGGTCGCTTGGGTCGGTCGGACAATCTCTGCCTGTTTTTGTCTTTACATTTGAGGTTTACTTTCTAAGATCTTTTTGACTACATTTATATTTATTACTGAAATTACGCCTTCATGAACAAAGCCAATTTACTGGAATTAACATCCAACTTATGCTAGTGTCAAATTGACACGAATACCAGAAAACTTCGAGCTTAGAAGAACAAATGTGGACAGATATTTACTTTGCTAAATGGATAAACGTCAGCATAAACGTGTCCAAATGAATGATCTTTCTGCGGTAAGGCACCCTGCCGTCACTGTCTCGCCGTCTCCTGGCAGGTCTCGTACTGGCTTTCCTCTGACTGACCTGACAGTGCTGCTGTCAGCACAGTTCTCTCCAAAGCCGTGTCTCCTGTCAATCCAATTGGGCAAAAGTCACATCCTTTCAAAAAATCCCTTCTCTAACTTGGGCTTCTGCTAAAGGACAAGCTCTTAAACTTCAACTCTTCACATAGGAATGCTGTTTTCCTGATTGGATGGAAGTCATTTCTTTTTTTGGGGGAAGTCATTTCTTACACTTGGCCTTGTTTGTCATCAAGGGGGGGAGTCACACTCATTACTGTCAAGCCAGTCCCAATGACGGTGACTCCCAACACTCAGAGGGGAGCAGGAGCTCCGTAGGGCATTTCTGGCTGTCATCTTTGTGGATGTGGGTCACCAGGCCTTTCTTCTGCGGTGCCGCAGCATGGGTTTCAGCTAGTGGCTGGATGAAGGCCATGTGTGCCATCAAGAGGCTTAGAATCAGGCAAAACCACATCAGGCAGCTCCTTTGGGCCTTTTACTGTCCTTGCTTCAGCTTCCCTCTCAACGCTCACATTTCAGGGTGAGCCAAGGGGGCGAAAAGGTGCCTTTAGTTTGTCTCTTGAGATTCCCCCGGCTCCCTTCAGGACACTCACAATTGTACCTCATACTGAGCTGAAGAGAAGATTGCAAAGGCTGCCTCCACAAGACAAAAATATTATAACAAAAAGTGCAAAGACTTGAAGTCAGAAAACCAAAACACACATGTCATTTCCCAGGCTGAAAGAACTGGATGGGAAAAAAAAATGTCAAACCTCAAGTTGTATCACTGAAGGATTTTAAGGGCAAAACACCTAACTAAGCAAGACTTACCAAAAGAGATGGAAGAAATATACAGTCACTGCACTAAGAACGGGTCAAGGTCCGACCTCTTCACAAAGTGGCATGGGATCAAGAACCAATGTACTGAACACTGAAGGCACGGGGAAAACAAGGCTCCGGGAACTGACGGAGCATCAACGGAGATGTTTCACAAAACAGGTGCAACGATGGATGTGCTCGCTCATCTGTGCCGAGAGCTTTGGAAGACAGGAAGCTGGCCAGCCAACTGGAAGAGATCCGTATTTGTGGAAGTTGCAGAACAATACCACTTGTATACAAGATTTTTGCTGAGAACAATTCGAAAGTAGCAGCGGTGCGTCCACAGGAAACTTCAGGAAGTTCAACGAGGGCTCAGAAGAGATGCGGCGCAAGGGAGATCACTGCTGTCAGGTGGATCTTGGCTGAAAGCAGAGAATACGAGATGTTTACCTGTCTTATTGACTACACCAAGGCATTCAACTGTGTGGGTCTTGGCAAACTGAAGTTCCCAAAGTACTTCACGGTGCTCTCGTGGAACCACACACGGATCAAGACAGTCATGGGATGGGACAAGGGGGCAGGGAAGGTATGCATCAAGGTCGTCTCCCCTCCTCACACCTTTTCAATGTGTATGCTCAGAGCAGTTGGGACTGTATGACGAATGCCACATCAGGATTGGAGACTCGTAAACTACGCAGCAGACACGACCCTGCTTGCTGAATGCGAAGTCAACAGGAAGCACTTACTGATGAGGGTCAAAGCCTGAGCGTTCAGAGAGAAGTACACCGCAGCAGACTGAACACAGGTCCTCACACAGGATAAAGGGAGGAAAGCTCGAAGTGCTCACGGGTTTCATTCTGTTTTGACCCACTGTCAACACCCATGGAAGTACAGTACCACTCAAGACATCAAATGACAGTCTGCACTAGGCCGATCTGCTGCCAAAGACCTCTTTCAATTATGAAAAAGCCCCGGTGTCACTTTGAAGCCTACCGTGTGCTTAACGCATGCCATATTTTCAATCGCCTCTTACGTATGTAAAAGCTGACTCACGAATCAGGAAGACTGAAGAACCGATGCGTTTCAATGAAGGTGTTGGCAAAAAACACTGAACACGCCGTGCACTACCAGAACTGAACAAATGTCTTGGAAGTACAGCTAGATCATTCTAGAAGCAGGGATGGCAAAATGTCTCATGTCCTTGGAAACTGTTATCAGGCAGGGCCAGTCCTTGAGGAGGACATGGTGCTTGGCAGGTGAATGAAGAGATAGTGGCTGCAATACTAGGCGCCAACACAAGCAACGGCTGCAGACATTAGCGCAGGAGCACGCAGCGTTCGCTGTTCTAGGGAAAGACAAGACTGCACCTAAGATCCTCACACTGCACACAGCAGTGTCGCTGAACTGCCACCGGAGTCCACGTGACTCCTCTTCCCAGTCACCTTGCAACGTGCACTTCATCTCCAAGTCCCTGAGGCCCCTACTAACATCTTGCTCACCTTCACACCCAGAATCACCCCAGCCTCAAAGCCCCTCATCCTAGGTTTGTGATGGTGGTTTACCTGTCACCTTGCCACCCCAGGGCCGGGGCACTTGCAGCTCTCAGGGGCAAGTGCTCTTCATCTGCTGACCACACTTCAAAACACAGGGCAACTCCCCCCACCCAGCCCTCCTCCATGTATGCCCCCGCCCTGCTTTACTGCCAGGGATCACGCGCCCTGACTCTACGGTTGTCTACTGGTTCACTGCAAAGGTCCCCACACTTACTGGGCCCACCACCCCCTTTCAGAAGAAAAACTACTCAAGGTCCCCCATCCCACAGAGCTTTACAGTGCCCACAAACTACTGTATGGCCAATTTGGGATAGCAGGGTTACTGTCATACATATGACACACCCATGTTGAGTGACAGGACTTAGCTTCCTAATACAGCCATGTCTCATAAGGGCACCCAGGCAGTCTGAGTTAAATGACAAAGGAACAAGGACCCCATTCGTTATAAATACTTCAAGAGCAATCATGACCAGCCTTTGCTGGGAGCCCAGCATCACCTGTAAGGCTGCATCCTGAGGGTTGCTGACCAAGGCTGTGAGACGGAGGATCTGCAGCAGAGATGCAGTTGTGGGAGGCACAGCAGGCAGGGAGGGCAACCCCTCCAGGCTCAAGGTCCAGCTGGCTGCTCTGCTCCAGGACAGGCTATGCAGCTGGTTTGAACTCACAGAAGCAGAGGAGCCAACACAAGCCCAACCTCCAGTCCACTCCGGCTGGGACCCCTGGGTGGCAAACTCCCTGAGGGCAGCTTTGGAGGTGCCACACTCTCCTGAGCAGTTGATGGGCTCCTACTGGCAACCTTTGTTTTTTTGTTGTTGTAAACTTGTTTCTTTATTGAGAGGGTTGGGGAGCACCAGGGAATGTCCATTCTAATCTTCCTGGGCTGATTTTTTAATTTTTTTCTTTTTCTTAGTGGCAACCTTTGTTACCAGCCAACTCCCTAACCAATGTACCACCCACCAGGCCACAGGGTACATACAGCATATAGGGCTGGACCTGCCCTCTGCCCAGGTCAGGACCCAGCTCCAGAGCTCGAAACACCCACAGCATGGCAATGCAAGGCTATCTGAGCCCCGCCTTGTAGATTCCCACCTCCTGAGGGCACAGGAGACCGGGCAGTAGGACGGCTACCCCACCCTGAGTCACTAGAGGGCCTAGTGGGCAAGTCAGTAACTCAGTTCAAGGTTTTTTCCTTTTATTTTTTCCTATCATTCCATACAAAAGCAACAGAAACCTAAGTCTTAACAAGTTTACAAGTAAGTGTATGAACAAACAATCTATACAGTGTCATTTACAACAATTTTACATGGTAATAAACTGCTAGAAAGTAAAAAGCTTTCTACATCCCTCCCGTGTGCCTTCACTCCAGATTAGAGGGAGGAGAGCCCACGCAGCCAGCACTGGGTACAAGCCCCGGATTCAGACGGCAACTTCCCAAACAGCCACCCAGGGCAGCAGCACTGCGGAGCCTCAGTCCAAAAGAAAACCCAGATCAAGTTTCCCTGACATCCAAAGCCAGCATGCTCCACCAGAGGTGATGTCACACACGAGCCCCTGGGGGACCCATCCAAGCCCACAGGTGCCCTGGAGCAGACAGATCTCGGGGAGGTGCCAGGATTGCTTCAAATTTCCAGCTTCCTTGGGGTCTGGTCTGTTCCCTTCACAACTGAAGCATTCAGCTAAAACAACTCTTTCCACACAAGTCGCCGCCGCCACGCGACGGAGGTCTGAATCGTGCAAAAGCAGCAACACCGAGTACGTACTCAATTCACAGGCACCATCAGATCCCATTTGAAGTGGGACGGATCAGGCTCTGCTCACTGAACATCACTCCTGGTCACTTCGACACTGGGAGTGGGCAGTGGAGTCGAGGGTGATTCCACAGGGCTGCATCATGAAGCAGTCACACTATTGCTCCCACAACTAGAGCTGCGGCTTCGGCCTCAGCCCAGAGGTCCTGAGGCCTGAGATCCCTCCACCCGACGGCTGCCCAGGATCCTGACAGGTTGTGGACGCCTCACCCAATGGGGGCCTAGGTAACTACACTGCAGGAAGGTCCCGTTTACAAGGCTTTGTATCTATACCCTCACGCCCTCTTTTGAGCACTAAATAAAAGGGTTCCACAAGATGTAGTGGTTTTCTCGTGGGACAGGAGGTGATGCGAGTCTGACTGCATACATCTCTGATTGCTTTAATGAACAGGGCGTTTTTTGTTTTACTAATTAAAAGTGTTATGAAAAGGCTGCACAATCCACGGTGAGCGTTCATAGAAGTTTAAAGGTAACGCCATAGCAAGGCCTTCGCTGCATACCCACGTACTGGGCTGCAACCTCAGGGAAATGGCCCGCGATGGCGGCAGCACAGGGCAGAAACTGCCGTCCATGTTCTGCACCATCAAGCACAGTTGTTTGGGTGGATGACTAACAGGAAAGCCTTCAGATTCTAGTATAAATTGGGGGGCGGGGGAGTGTCCCACCTTCACAGTAGAGAAACCTCATTCCACCTAAACATGTTGCATCAATTTTAACACTACCACCTCCTCCAGGCCCTGCGTCCTGCTCAATCTAGATCAAAATCTTCAGGAAACAACCAGACAACTCCAAATGAAGGAATATTCTGCATAGAAACGGGTCTCAACACTCTTAAGACCAACATGGTGAACCCAGCCACAGAAGTTACTGGGACAACCGGGGGGCGGCCGCCATCGGGGCTGTTCCAGACACCGCTTCACCCCCAGAAAACGGGGGCCAGGCCTCCACTGGGCTGCAGTGTTTGAGCAATGCCGGGCCTTCTGAGCATGGTAAGTGTGTCGTGGCCTCGTCCAGGACATCCTGAGTCTTAAGAGATAAAAGTGGCAGCACTCAGTGGGAAGTTCCGGCTGGAACTGCACAGCATGCAGAGCAAGCCACCCACCTGCTCGCTCTGGGTCCTGCAGACTGGAATTCCGTGTCTGAATTCTCAGCCCAATCTCCTCGCCTGCCTTTGGCCTCTCCAGGACCTCTCCCTGGGGTTGTCGCCCATGCCACTCGGTGACCTTGCTTCGTGGGAAAAGCAGTTTGGGAGTCCCCTTTGCCCTAGTTTTCTGACCAGGAAGGTTTAGTACTTTTTCTGGGTTGACTGGCTAACTTTCTGTCTGGCCCAGCCTGGGTTGTGGCCTGCCAGAGTGGCCAGTATTTCTAAGTGTATGAAGTGACTGTGGGTTAGGCAAATGAAATCACTATAGCTTAGCCTGCAAATGACCCCCCAAAATGGACTGAGGGGTGACTCATCAGTTAGTGGAAGAACCACGCCTTCCAACTGACCCGAGCACTTGTTCTGGCACCGGCTCCAAGGTTTCAGACAGCAGCAGCAAAGGGAGGAGGAGAGGAGCGTGAATCTACAAGCGCTGAAGGTGGGTTGGACTCTAACACCAAGATCAGGGCGCAGCAAAGACAGACCTGTCCTGAGTGGTTGAGGAGGTCTCCATCGTTGGTGAGGGGTTGGGGGTGCTTACTCAGCCTAGAGAAGGGGCTGTTTGCCAGCCTGTTGAAGAGCTGAGTGGGCTCCCTGGTGCCATGCTTCCTGATCTTGCCAAGCTGCAGTCTGTTGGTCTGACCTCGCTGCAACCTGCTCCTTCCTCAGTCAGTTGCTTAAACTATGTACAGCCCGTGGAGTCTGTGCAATGGCATATGGACCCGAGTGGCGGGCGGGAGGGCCGGCTGGGAGCAGGATTCGTGACAGGGCTGGAGAGGGGGCAGGTCTGACCTCCATCTCACAAGGACAGCCTGGGCTCGTCCTGATTCATGCTGTCCCCCAGGTAAGACAGGGTCTGCCGTTACTACTCTCATTTTACATGGCCCCCGCCAGTCAAGCTCCCCTGATCAAGGACCCCCACCCCACAGCCCTCTCTCTCTCCTCACCTCTCCCCCAGGACCACTCATATCCTGGGTCGCTTCTGAAATGGTCCTGGGCCTGTTCAAAAGCAGGCTCGCATTGGGGCACAGGGTCTTACATGTGATGAACAGAAGGAAAGCGGTTCACGGTCCAGACTCAGGCAGACCCCACTTATCCCCCCCATCCCCTTCTGAGGTGCACAAAGGGGAGGAGCCACAGCACTGGGGGGCTTGCTTTCCCAAATGGGAAAAGCCCAGCCTAGAAGAGGCGTGTTCCTGACCAGTGAATGCCCTGCCCCTCCTCACTGCTGGGCATGTGACTTCTAATTCTTATCACTAAGCTGGGACATGCAGCATGACCTGGTAAGGCAACTGGAGGACACATAGGCTCCCCAGATGGAAAGAGAGCAGGCAGAAGCCACCTGCCCCGCTAGAGTGTTACAGGTGCCCTGGGGGCACTGCGGTTACACACTGGGCCGCTAACTGCAAGGTCAGCAATTTAAAACTGCCAGCAGCTCTCCGGCCAGGAGAAATACGGGCCTTTCTACCCCCATGAAGAGTTACAGTCTCGTGAACAGGGACAGTTCTACCCTGACTTATGGGGTCTTGGAGTTGGCATTGACTCAACGGCAGTGAGTTGTTTTTGAAGAGCCTTACAGAAGAATGAAGCTGTTCACCACTAGCAGGGTTGGTATTACGCTGTGCAACTGACTGCCGGGCTGCGGGTAGATCACAACCATCAGAGGGGCCCCCTCAACGTAAGCTACCCACGTTCACTCATAGAGCAGCGGTTCTCAACCTTTCACAGGGGTCGCCTGATTCTTAGTGACAGTTATGAAGTAGCAATGAAAAAGATTTTATGATTGGGGGGTTACCACCACATGAGGAACTGTATGAAAGGGCTGTGGCATTAGGAAGGTTGAGAACCACTGCTCTAGAGGAACAGTACAAGAAAGGACGGACTGGGCCACATGGTTTTGAGCTTGTCTTCTGTCTCAAAATACCTAATTTTTTAATTGGCAAATACAAGGGGCAAGAGGGCTAGACATGCAGCCATCTACTTACTAACAGGCGATGCCGAACTCCTGCTAGTAAGCCACCCCGCCAAGTGCTGCACACCCTGCAATCAAGGCGCTGACTGGGCGCCTGTGCAGACATGGCCATGGGGAAAGGCCTTGCACTTTCCCATGGCAACAGGGGAGCGATGTGCCCGATGGACTTGCCCAGGATATTCAGCCAGGATCCACTTCCTCAAAAGCATCCCACTTCCACGGCAGCTGGCTGCCGTTTCTCAGAGCCCGGCCCACGTCAGCTGAAGGCCCACAGGGAGTACTTACACAGTTGTCCTGCGAGCTCGTCTGGGACTCTGAGCTGCTCTCCGCTGACTCAGTCTCCATCTCACTCAGGTCCACAGGGCGCCTACGGGACAAACCAGCGAGATGTCAGCACACTGTCTCACCAAGGGATCTGAGGCACAGAAACGCCCCCCAGTCTGTCTGACAAAAGCTACCCCCCACTCCACATCACGTTTCCCTCAGTCCCCGCCAAGATGTTCCTAAGCACCCTGAAGGGTGGCCCTTGTCCCTGGCTCCTCACCAGAGAGGACACAGACCATGAAACCCCCTTTCTCTGTATTTTCGATATCACCAGCAGCCCCCCCTGTGGCCACTCCTAGTGGAAGCCCTGATGTGTCCAGTTTTCTTATGGGTGTGGGCACTCACCACTGACTATGCATGAATACGGATTTTCCCAATATCCCGCTCATTGAGAGAATGATGCACAAAGCCTCCTGAAGAGTAATCGATGCATCTGAATTGCACTGCTGATGAAGGATATTGAAAGTACCATGGACTGCCAAAGAACAAATGTGTCTTAGCAGAAGTACTGCAGAGTGTGAGAAGGAAGGATGGTAACGTGTACTTTGGTCATGTCAGGAGACAAGGACACCAAGCTTGGTACAGTGGAAAAGCAGAGAAAAAGAAGAAGGTTCTGAACAAGATGGATGGACAGTGGCTACAACAATGGGCCCAAACATTACAATTGTGAGGGTGGCCAAGGACCAGGCAGCGTTTCATTCAGTTGTCCAGAGGGTTGGGTCAGAAGAGAATCAGACAACAAAAGCCCATGTCACACGGAGGGGTGGGGGGATGTCACATCTGCACAAGCCAGCCTCAAAGCAGAAACACATGATTTGTTAAGTGACTTAATGGTGCTCTAACAGAGAGAGAGCTGAGGACAAGAGGGGAGCAGAGGAGAAACCCCACACAAAGGAGAGGAGCCCACAACTGTTCTCTCCACATCCCTGCTCAACAGGGAGGGTGGGCCATGCCACAGAGGCCAGAACCCCTCCAACCAGGTAGAGCAGTGTTTCTCAACCTTCCTGATACCACGACCCTTTTGTACAGTTCCTCATGTGGTAGGGGACCCCCCCCCAACCATAAAATCACTTTTGTTGTCACTTTATAACTGTCATTTTGCTACTGTTAAGAATCGGGTGACCCACAGGTTGAGAACTGCTGAGGTAGAGGATGACAGAGCAGGGGGAAATGCTAAAAGCCTGCCCTAGTTAAAAAGACTCTTACTAAACCCTGAACAGACCATTGTGGGCCAAGTGACAAGTATTTTGATGTCACTTGCTGTATATACTTGTGTATAAGCCGAGTTTTTCCAGCACATTTTTAATGTAGTTTTTGTGATAAAATTAGGTGCCTCCGCTGATGTTGGGAGCCGGTGGCCATTAAGGCCTAAGCCTCAGCCGAACTTGGCTGCTTCCTGGTTAAGTGTTGTCTTTCATTTGCTAAATCTGTGGGGAACTGGGCCTGCCTAAATTCCTGCCTCCGCGTTCCACGGGCAGTTGTAAAGTTGACCTTTTCACCCATTGGTTAATAATGCCAGGCGCTCATTGGAGCTTCTTTAATGTACATGTTGGATTGGATGTTGTGTCGCACACCTTATTAAAATATGCACCTCCCAGTTCCCCATTTTATATACCCCAGCTTTGCCCAAACAAATAGAGTTTGATCAGAGTTTTGTCTTGCTCCACGTCTCCGTGTCTTTTCTCCATCCAGGTTCGTCTTTCCCTGCAGGGCCTTGCTCGTGAGTCCCACAGGCCGGGACGCTACATGCTGATAATTGAGTTGGCTTATATTCGAGTATATACAGTATATGAAACAAGCCAACAGACCAAAGTGGTTGCTGGGGGGAGTCATGCTTGGGGGACAGTGACTTTACGTTCAGGCTGGTCATGCCTCGTACTATAGTAGAACTGTAGCTATTGTAGCTGCACAGCTACAAGTGTTTGGCCAACCCCAACGTTACACAGGCAAAATTGGCTGAATTGGCGCTAAGTTTTGCTGTAGATGATTGGTGTAGTTGGCGCACAACTTTTAAAAACAGCCTTTTATTTTTATTTTTTTCCAGCCTTTTATTTTTACAAATCCACCCTAACCCCAAAGTATTCTCACAGCGACTCTGTACGACAGTGAACCAACCCACAGGGTTCCTAAGGCTGTCAGTCTTTACGGAAATAGACCGCCTTGTTTTCCTCCCAGACCAACTGGTGGATAAGCACCCCTGAATTTCAGTTAATAGCCCAATGTGATACCCACCACACCCCCAAAGCTCCTTTTACTTTCAGAGTTCAATATAAGCAATTTAAAACATTTTTTAGGATGTACACTTCACCCCTAAAAAAGCCCATATTCCAATCTGATCAAGCGCTATCTATCCGTCTTGTGAACTACTTCTCCAAAAGGGATCACATTAGAAGGTCCGACACAGAGAAGAAAAAGTGAAACAAAACCCTAAGAAAACAAGTCGAGCAGAGATGGGGAGAAGATCTCCAGACTCAGCTCTCCGCACGGCTCCATTTGCAGCCTACGCAGAGAGCAGCAGCACCAGTGAGGTCCGGAGCCAGAGGGCAGCATTTACCCAAAGTGCCACAGAAAGAAACAGGAAACACAAGGAGGAAGTGGGTAAGTCACATTGCAAAGTCAATGAGATGAGACAAAATGCATGAAGAATTATTGAATGTGAAACTGGTAATCAGCTGTAAACCTCCACCCAATTCGTTAATAGAAAGCCGAGAAGCAAGCTCCCCGCCCCTTCCCTCTTAGAACCTGCCCACTTGGCCCACATACTTGGGCCGCCAGAAAACGAGCCTGAAGCCATGATCAGTTTGTGATTGCTCCTGACCTTCCAAGGGACTAAGGAACAGGTGATGGAGGCTGTCTCCATCGGGCCGAGCAGAGAAGCACAACAGAAAAGCCTAGACGTACATGTCCTGCAGGTCACAGCCCTCCTCCACCGGGGGGTCCCAGAAGTGCAGTGCCACCTTCCAGAGTCGGATCTGCTGGTCCCATGAGCGCCGACTGTACTTCTTAAACTTGTTGGGGGTTTTGGGGTGAATGCCAGGCTGCCGAAGGTGTCTACAAGAAAACAAGCGAGGTCACCCAGCTAGACTAACTACCCACAAAGGAGGTGGTAGCCTGAAAGCCTAAAGGTGGGCCAAACCTTGGGGTTAGCATTTCCGTAATTACAGAGCAACGGTGATACCAAGAAATATCCCCTCTGTGGTGCGGACCAAGGTGGGTTTGAAGCATTAGCCTTTGGTATTTAGCAGGTAAGCACCGACCAGGGTGCCACCAGGGCTCCTGAGAGCAGATTCGAATCAGCCAGCCTCACACAGCGCTCCTTACCTGGGCACTTCTTTAATGTAGCGATCGTAGGCGATGGTGTTCTTCCCGTAATTGATCTGCTTCTGTCTCCTCATCAGCACACTCTCGTCCGTCTCTAAGTCGGCTGGTACTGTGGACATGGACTCCTTAGAGTCTGAACTGGAGGTGAGATGAATAAGATAAGCCTTGCTGCAAAGCTGAGCCCCCCCCAAAAAAACCCAAACCACGGAGACACAGCAGTGGACCCCAAGTCAGATCAACCACAAATAGTCCACAATCACCTGCAACAGCATTTCACTCAGGAAACAAACAGATGCATTCCACGTGCTTCTGCCACCATGAGCACCTCAGCAAGTGAGGTGGGTCCCGAACACCAGACGCACCCCGCTCCCTGCAGGCAGGGCACCTACTCACCTGCCTGAGGACGAGCGCCGCTCTCTCCCAAAGTCATTGATGAGAAGTTTCCTTTTGTATCTGGAAGCAAAATTAGCAGTGCTGTTTTGAGAAGGCCCACAGCCCAGGGAGCACTGGGTATATTCAGAGCGAGGTGATCTTCCCACCCGTCTGATTGGCCTCCCCCAGTCTCCTCCTTTGTGCGAGCAGGAGAAAGGACCTCTGGCAGGCCCACCCTCAGTGGGCCCTGGGTATCGCATGCTTCCCTTGAGCACTGCCTTGCAGCTGCACTCACTGCAAACAATGAACAGCCTACAAGGAGGAGAACCCCCAAAACATACCCCGGGATCAAAGCTGCTGCTAAGAACTGCACTCTCGCATGAGCATGGTGTGCACCACCTCCCCTGACTGGACCAGCCACCCTCCCAGGACCTGTCCTGCACCGGTCCAGTCTTGCTTTGCTGCTCCCCAGATGCAGGTCTGCAAAGGTCTGCTGCCAGGACAAGGACGGCGAGGAGGACAGCACAAGCCAAGGTCCAAACTGCAGAGGACCCAGAATGCGCCAAGCGAGGACCACCGGGCTCCCCTCATCTTTTGCCATCAAGTGGTTCCAGCCCACAGTGACCCACCAGGACAGAGGACAACTGCCTTTTAGTAGTTCTGAGACGTTAGAATTTTACAGGAACAAGCAGCCTCGTCTTTCTCCCTGGGAGTGACTGGTGGATCTGAACCACTGATCTTGCAGCTGGAAGCTCACTAACCCAACACGCTACCTGAAATCTAAAGTCACCACAGCATCCCAGAGCAGAGTCTGGACCCCATCAAGAAAGTGGTAGAGGTGCAGACAACTGTCTCTCTGGCTACATATATAAAAACCCAAACCAACCCCACCGCCACCAAGTGGACTCCAACCCAGAGACCCTTTACAAAAGCAGACAGCCTCCTCTTCCTCAACAGCCCAACGCTGACCCAGCAGCACCACCAAGCACCCTGCTGTGCCACTGAGTCAGTTCTGACCCAACGCGACCCTACCGACTGGGCAGACCTGTCCCTGAGTCTGTGAGACTGTAATCCTTTACAGAGTAGAAAGCCTTGTCTCTCCCCCATTGAGCAGCTACTGGTTTCAAACTGCTGACCTCAGGTGAGCAGCCCAATGCTTAAGTCAGCGACGACGACACCTTATCACACTTGTGAGGACTGAGAAAATAGCCACACAAATCATTCCCTGAAGGGCTAACCATCTCCTGGACTGGCCAAAAGTCTGGTGAAAACTTTCCAGCAGTGTGGGATGCAGACCAGCACAGTCTCCAGTGACTTCTTAGAAATGGCCATTACTGTGCCCTCACACCATAATTCCCATTTCTAAGAAGTCCCAGGAGGATGTGCATGCTGGTCTGGGGCCCACCGTGACAAGAGGGCACACCCTCCACTTTAAGTTTTGGTTAAAGAAGCACCGATGGTCACTTTAGAGCAGGAGTGTCAAACTGGCCCACGATGCTCTGAAACAAAACGTAATGAGGTAATGAGTGTACAGTATTGCCTCGATCTCCCCTAAGCGCTATTTTCTTCATAACAATTTTTTCTATTTTCATTTTATTTCAGAGCATCGTGGGCCACAAAAAATTACCTCGGGGGCCCCATGCGGCCCTTGGGCCGCCAGTTTGACATCCCTGGTTTAGAGCATCTGGAAACATACCTTGCAAATTCTTTATTAACTCTGGTTCTCATTTCATCTTCTTCAACTGCACTGCCCCAGTCTGCACATCTCGAACGGGGCTTAGGGCCTTCGGGCGTGGTGAAGCTGCAGAAGAGAAAGAAGAGGCACTGATGAACTCTGCTGACTTCCTGAAACATGCAGGCAGACAGCGCCTGGGAACCTAGCTGACAGGGAACCCATGTCACCCACCACTGTGCCCAAATGTGCCAGCCTTTGCCAAATAATGAGGACACGTGGTGGGGAGACAGAGGTCAAACAAGTGCACCTGATGCAGCTTCTTTGCAAATGAGGATCTTTTTTCAGCAACCCCTAAGGGCACAAAGCATCACCTCAGAACTGCCCACCCCAGGGAAAACCGGGAGGGGGTGCGTGCCAAGTACAAATAGCAAAGTCCTTGACATCTTAGGACCCTCTCTACTGCTAAGATACCAGCTGTTTCACCATGCCCTGAGGATGATATTTCAGCTCAGAGCAGCCAAAGCAGAGAGGACCATAGGACCGACCCCACTACAAGAGACAACAGGCCTCATTGACCCATAGCACTACGGGGACAACACTGGAGACAGTGCGGGAATAGCACCCGATCTGACCCCACCAAGCTGAGCCAAAACACTATGGGCATGCAACAGAACAGCAAGGGGAAGAGATCTAGGAAGTCCCCAGGGAACACCAAAAATAGACTTTGTAACCAGGGCGTGGCGCCCCATCAGATTCAACTGGAAAACACTCCTTAGGGTCAACAAACAGTCCTTAAACTATTTATAGGCTTTTCTTTTCTTGTTAGTGGTGTTTTCTTTTGTTGCTTTGTTTTGCTCTATCTTGTTTTTTGTACGGGATTATTATCTCTGCAGGTCTATCTAGGTAAGATAGGCTGGATAAACCAATGGGACCTGTGGTTCCAGAGGGACATGGGAAGAGGGACACGACGGATGGACAACAAACCCAGGGACAAGGGAACAAGTGATCCAAAATCAATGGCAAGGAAGGTGGAGGAGGTCTGTTAGGGCTTGATCAAGGGCAATGTAACCAAGAGGAATTACTGAAACCCAAATGAAGGCTGAACATGAGTGGGAAAAGAATGAAGTAAAAATATAAGAGCTAGGAGGCAAAGGGCATTTATAGAGGTCTAATTACAGGCATGTACATATGTAAATATATTTACATATGACAATGGGGAAATAGAACTATGTGCTTATATTATGGGTTTAGTATTAAGGTAGCAGATGGACATTGAGCCTTTACTCAAGTAATCCCTCAATAAAGAACACTTTGTTCTATTAAACTGGCATTCCATGATGCTCACCTTCCCAAGATGATCGCTGAAGACAAAGCAGGTACATAATGTGAAGAAAGCTGATGGAGCCCGGCTATCAAAAGATATAGCATCTGGGGTCCTAAAGGCTTGAAG